ATATATATATATATACAGTATATATATATATATATATATGTATATATATATATATATACACAATCAGTTTAATATTTCATTCACTATATGAAGACACAAATGATGATGGGCATGAAAATGTACTGCATAACAGGCATGATCCATTTCCTGGCACATCTATATTTCTGTTTGTACCTGTTTGTCTGTCAGTTTTAGGCTGTCAGTGAGCAGGAAGCTCAGGGCTTTAATAGGAAGCGCGGCGTGCGTTTCCGTCGTGGACGATCATGAAACTGAGCTGCGCAATTCAGACTGTCCTCTGGATCGTACGACCAAATGAAAGGCAACAAAACATAAAAGAACACAAACACAATGGGAAAAATGTGGTAGATGGAAAACAACAATGAAACAAATCATAACGCATTGACCATCCATCCCAAAATCAAGAAAAAAATGCATTTATGTTGGACATAAACAAATGAACATAAATGAAGAAGCTGGTACCAATGGATGGTTTTATGTTTATGTTTAATGAGCTCATATGCATGCGGAAGGGTAAGTATAATATCAAAGAACTAGTAAAGTGCACCTTGTTTATCCAGCTCCATGACTGCAGGTGGCGATGGAGGTTGGAGTTGAATGGAAGACCTACTTAGCAAACCTTGAGTGGCACCTTCCACATCACCAGTATCTCCATCTGGCTCAGCATCCTCTCTAAGAGACATATTTAAGTATCATCAGATCATTATTTTAAAAAAGGTACATTTTGTCTTCAAATTTGTCCTCGTTCATTTAGTTTATCATGCCAAGAAATAAAAGCCTCCACAATTTGTAAAATTGTAAAAAAGTTCAACCAAAAATGAAAATTTCCTGAAGATTTTCTCACCCTCAGGGCATTCAAGATGCCAGAACAGATTTGGAGAAATTTAGCATTACATCACTTGCTCACCAGTGGATCCTCTGCAGTGAATGGGTGCCGTCAGAATGAGAGTCCAAACAGCTGATAAAAACATTACAATAATCCACAAATAATCCACACAACTCCAGTTTATCAATTAACGTATTGTGAAGCAAAAAGCTGCATGTTTGTAAGAAATCATTAAGACATCTTGTCTGAATCAGGAGAGAAATATGCACAGATCAAGCACCGTTTACAATCTAAAACAGTCCAAAACGGTTCTAAATATATGTTGGTGGATTCTGATGTGAGAGGACAACAGGGGATGGACTTTTTCAATGGAGGAAGCATTATCATGGATTATGGAATAATATTTTTGCCAGAAGTTGATACACCTCAATGATTGATTTGTTTCTTGAGCTTTTCACTTCACAAAACATTAATTGATGGACTGGAGTTATGTGAATTACTTGGGGATTATTGTGATGTTTTTATCAGCTGTTTGAACTCTCATTGTGACGGCACCCATTCACTGCAGAGGATCCACTGGTGAGCAAGTTATGTAATGCTACATTTCTCCAGATGAAGAAGCAAACTCATCTACATCTTGGATAGTACATTTTCAGCAAATTTTCATTTTTAGGTGAACTATTCCTTTAATTTGCTGTTGAAACAGAACCAGAATTATTTAAATGCAACCTGTTCATTTAAATTGTTCTGCACCACTTCATTATTACTTTACTCAAAAAGATACAAGCAAGCAAACAAAAAAACACACTCACGTGTTGCCAGATGGCAGATTGCACTTTTTCCGACCCAGCTTGGTGGCCTGCTGTGTGAAATACTCATGCCGCTCTGATTTCTTCCACATGTAGTAGTACTCTACACACTCACCTACTGAGCGTGTGCGGACCTGGGTGAGGGCAAATAAGAGAGACCGACACATTAAGGGACTCTCATTTCTCAAACAAAATAGTTGAAAAATCAGCAGCAATCTCTACTGGGAAACAATGTATGATATGAGGAAACTTAAAAAAAATATGGTGGTTTACCTTATTGGCCTGTATGAGGTTGAAGTTCTTCCCATGGGCACGGTAACCATACTCAAAGCTACGACACTCCTCCTCACTCCAGCCACAAAGCTCTAATGGAACATTTTTTACATTGAAATTAACCTGCTATACATCCTAGGAGATGGATGCATGGATTTCATTTTTTTTACTGCCTACTAAATAAGGTTTGAGAAAGAAAATAACAGAAAGAAAGACAAAGAAGAAAAATTACAGAGGCCTTACCACTGAAACCCTTGACATTAAAGCGATATCTTCTTAGTGCCTCGTCTGCATTGAAGTTGCATTTTACTAGTTCATATAGAGCCTACAAAAGAGATAGAATGAAGGACCACTGAATGTAAGTTCAACCACTGAAAGATCAAACATGAACAACTAAAGACAAAAAGTTACAGTGAGGTAGAAAAGAATGAGATCACTAGTGAAAATGCATCTATGTAATTTCAGAATGTTTTAATATTTGGCATGTTGCTGTTTTGCTTTAATGACAGCAGCACCAAAGTTGCATGAACTTCACAAGTTTGTGCAAAACCTAATGATCATGTTTTCCAGCATAAATTGGAGTAAAATCTTTCAAAAAAATAAATAAAATAAAATAAATAAATAAACAAAAACCTTCATTACGGACCTAAAAATTGCGCAGAATCTTAAACATTTAAATATCTTTTAAATGAAAACCTGACATTTTGATCTCTTGCTTGCAGCAAACTAACAGTGGTTAAGGATAATCTGCCCAAGCCGTCAAACTGAAGTCCTTAGAGAAGGAATGCCTTTCCAGAGCGAAGCAAATGTTCAGATTTTGATTAAAGATTACAAGACCATTTTTTCTGTGGATTAACTTGCACAGACAAATTGTTCACCTCAAGGCTAGCAATGTGTGCTAACAAAGTATTTTTATGTGATTTCATGTGGACTTTAATGTAAAAGTAAAGGGGTCCCACTGGGCTCTATTCTTGGACCATTATATTTTCATTAAAAGTAAACAAAAATTTGTAATTTTGCCTGGCAAATAACTGAAATAAAGAAATAATTGATGCACTAAAATGACCAAAACTGAAATAAAAATGAATTAAAACTATATAGAAATATTTTTTAAAACATTAAGTTCCTAAAACTTAAATTAAAACAAAAACTGAAAATATAATATTTACTAAAATATAATATCAATATATCAATAAATACTGTAATAGTAAATAAATAATACCAACATAACACTGCAAGCAAGCTTTACCCTCCAATTCAGCCACTTCCAGATTGTATGAAAAGTCAAGTGCTGCATCTGTGTGATTCAACCCAACCTGCTCATTGTCTTTGACTATATCTCCTGTGGTAAAAGTGTTTGTAGGTCCATCGTCACTCCCTTTTCTCTGGACTTCAAGCAAAAACTTCTCTATAGCCAGACTGGACAACACATCTGGGGTCCACAATAACTGGTCCTCATTTTCATAGGCTGGGGGTAACAGTAACAAAACAGGTGTGGATCCCAGGGGACTCGGCAGGTTGGTTATGCAAAACAGACCACTGAAACCACATCCCTGGAGCCAGTGTAAAGGACACCAGACAAGAGAAGACACTCACCTCTTTCATAAAAAGTGTGTGTACAGAGAGAAGGAATTATAGCCTGATACTGGGGGCCCACCATGATGTCCTGATAACCAAAACATGGCACAAAAGCATTACTACAATGTTTTTTTTAACATCAAGCTGACATTTTAAAACCATTACATTTAAATATCATAAATTCTATTTTATAGACACAACCATTAAAACATTTGGGGTCAATACAACTTTTTTGATGTTTTGGAAATAATTATCTTATGCTCACCCAGGCTGTTTCTTTGATTGAAAAAAATAATATTGTGAAATATCTCAAATAATAGATTTATAAAAGATTTATAAGTGTAATAGAAATTTAATTTAATACAGTGATGACAAAGCAACCATTATTCCCGTCTTCAGTGTCACATGATCCTTCATTCTACACTGAACAAAATTATAAACGCAACACTTTTGTTTTTGCCCCCATTTTTCATGAGCTGAACTCACTAACACAGATTTAGAGAAATAGGCCTTTTGTGTACATAGAAAAAGTCTTTGATCTTTGAGTTCAGCTCATGAAAAATAGGGGCAAAAACAAAAGTGTTGCGTTTATAATTTTGTTCAGTGTAATATGCTCAATGCCTGGTGATTTATAGAAGTACTACACTTTGGCCAAATTGACACGTCCTTGCTGAATGCAAATATGAATAAAAAAACCCTGAAGATCATGTTTTCCAGCATGAAATCTTTAAGAAAGTATTGTGTAAGAAAACCTGACATTTTGATTTATTCTGCACACAAGGGCCTACTGATACTTTTAACTAGGTTGTCCCACTGGGCTCTATTCTTGGACCATTATAATTTCCAAAATACATTTATATATAAAGCTACATAAATTTAATTATTAAAAGATGTAACTTCAAAACACATCATACACAACTTTTCTCATAGAAATTTATTAAACAAAATTCAATAAATCAGTGATAAATAATGTAATATAAACATAGTAAACTATAACATGAATCTTTTTTTTCTTTTTTTTTACCTTGCAGCCATCACTGGAGGGGATAGAGGTGCTTTCTGAGTCATCTTCGGAGCAGCTGACTGAAGTGTCTTTGTCATCACCTGGTAAAATAAAGAACCATTTGAGAGTGAGCCCAAACATTTTTGAAAACAGAAAATAGATTTTTCATAGAAAATTAACACACACTAAATGTCTTATTATGTTGCCAGCAAGATATGTAACAGATAACAAATATGATTAAGTTCCAAACGTATGTGCAGTGTGAACAAATCATCTTTAACAAAACAAAGTAAAAAATAGCAAAGAGAAAAAGGGCAACTAGCATTGCTAAGGACTGACATTGCTTACAAGAATATTTGCTTATATTCGCTTAGGAGTTGCCAGTACAGTGGAAAAGTGGCATTGTAATTTGATGTTGTACCTCTTAGGTGACATTGTAAGAGGTCAGATGAATGGGACGTGACGGAGAGTGTGAGGTCATCAGCAGAGGAATGGCTGTCCACATCCTCCGCTCCTGAGAGTAGAGCTTTACCTATCTGAACCTATAAAAAGATTGATTTAATTTCTAGCTATAAGGCAGAATTTTCACTTTCTAAGTTTCCTAAAGAAGTTACAAGGACCATTTTAAGATTCTACTGAGGACGACAATCAAAAAAAAACTTTAATAGATAAGTTGCAGTCACATTTAAGGTTGTTCTGTGAATTTTTGTGGTATCAAGTCATTTTAAATAGGAATCCATGCTATTGGGAATTTCACTCAAGGGCAAAAGATTTCACAATGGGTTCAATTTGGTCACACAAATTTGCCAAGTTGACCAACAGAAAGCTGCTTTGTTTGAAAGTGACTTATGTGTGAGCTGAACTTAATACATTGCTATACTTTTGAAATAAAAAATTGGCCTTTTTTCATGGTCTCGTTTTTTTAAAGGTTACCACACCTTTAGAGTGAAATCACAATTTAATAAATGGATATGAGATTTATGAGATTTAAAATAAGAAATAAAGTCAAAATTGTGAATAATAATAATAAAAACACAGTTTGAGATAAAAAGTCAAGGTTATGATAAACTAAGTTGATGTTTTTAGCTATCGAAATTTAAAATATGAAAAAAAAAGCTTTTTATCCACCGTATTTTGCAACACAGAAGCTTTTTCTTTCAATGTGTGAGACTTCTGACTCATTAACCGCTATAGGTAAATGACTGGAAGAATAAGAAAGTTCAGTAAACGGCAAACCTATTTGTGCTACAAACCTGTGTTTATGATCATGATAAAATAATAAAATAAAATGAAAAAACAATTACTAGTTTGCAGTATCAAGCAGCATAACGGACTGTTTTTATACAGGTAAATAACTGTAAGCGAATGGAAGCCTTGCACATTGAAGTTACAAACGGTCGCACCCACTCTTACGTTATAAATAAGATGGATAAGCGCAGATGGTTACTTTTAACAAATACTTTGATTATTTCAGTGATAGTGACCTTGTCCAGTGTCATTTCAGGCAGACTGGCTGCCAGCTCATTCGGCTCCTGTTGTTGTTGCAGGACAGGATCAGGCATGTTGTACCCATAAAGTGCCAGCAGTTGCTCAAGGGGCATCTCACCACCCTGTGGAAAGGTGGTCGAAACAATCCTTTTTTCCCCTCATATTCATCAGTATTAACACAAATCTAATCCAATCTATCAATGCACAGCAAAAAAAATTGTTGCACTCACTGCATGGGACTTGGTTTCCATCTTTATTGCCTGCCTCCGCAGGGTCACCAGGCTCCCGTCCTGCTCCTCTAGGAACGTGGTTGCCCGGGGAAGGGCCTCCAGCGGCCCCGCATAGCCCTGGTGGAAAATGTCTACACGACTGAGCCGTTGGTCCTTGGAGCCCATTTGCACAGCTAAAGCACAGTGAGAACAGATAATTCATAATAAATATATTAAATCAAAATAACCATTAAGAAACTTATCTTAAAACGTAAAAAACAATAATTGTTTAAAATGAAGACCAAAAAGTTGAGGAGAACCGACTTCATACATCCACTAAAATTACATTGGTAAATGTCAGATAAATTTAAAATTAATTGGCGAAAGGGCTAGAATAAACTTTTGAGAAAAGCTTCAGGATAATTTTTGGCAGACTGATTTGATTCTAATGCTGTGGCATTCAGAAATGTTTAAAAGTGACTTGTGTGTCTAAAGACCTTTTGAAGCCCCTGTATTTATGGAGGTAAAAGCCACTAGTTAGTTACAACATCTCAAATCCACCTGGTAAATATAAGTTATGACAGGCAAAAATCCAAATAAACCAGTATGATTGTCAATAACATTTCTCACTTCTTAACTTTTAAAATGAAGTGCTAACAAAGTAAACCTTATGACAGGTCATGAAATTAAGTATGAAACAATATCCTTGCAAAATTTCACCACAGTGTCCATAATTTCCACCAGAATACCATAGTTAAAATTATTGTTAATTACTCTTCACAGACTTTTAGACCAATTCAAGCGATATTTCATATGATGAACATGAATTATGTTCAAAACAATGTTGTGAAGTAACTTGTCCAAGAGAAGAACTTATTAGAACATATCCGAAAGCTACTAGCTGCACTAGATCTTTCAGAATATAAGCCCTTACAAAAATGTACCATGGTAAACATTTTACACCAAGCTTACACCAAAATAGTTATTGGTATAGTTTCAAATGTGATAGTAACCTTCAAGAAACGGAACAAAATTGCCATATGACCACTATGAGACGTGTTCTAGATAACATCTATACCGTTTCCCCTCATATTACAAGCCTCCTTTAGAAAAAATGGCTTTATACCACTAAACTGAATATAATTTAGTATGTTTACCTCATAAAACACTTCTAGACATAGTCTAAAGCTCAAGGTAACGAGTTTCAAGCACCACAAACATATTTAAAGTGTCTTTTCTTAAGTTTCTCCTCTTCATAGCCACTAAACGCATTTGTATGTGACCACACTGAGCTTTACTGAAGTTTGTCACTCAGGCGCTTTCCCGTAAGTCAGTGCTGAACATTTGCACCGTGACTCTGAACCGGTGCGAGAAGGAAACAGTTTTAGGGAAGTCGAGGAGGCAGTGACAGTATCTGAAGTTTTTAAACTTTAGACCTGCCATCCGTGCGCACCTGGGACACACTTCAGCACCAGCGCTGTCGCCGCTCTCCCGTTGTTTTGCACGGCGCTCGATCTGGCGAATTAAACTCTTGTGAACGCAACACACATAGAGATAGATAGAGCGGCGGAACGCTGAGGAGTGCTCCCATTTTAACTTCCTCCTTATTAATGACCGTCTATCTTTGCCGTTTTCTGAGTCGCTCGATCAGACGGGCCGGGTCTTAAGCTGTCCGTTAATGCGCGGCTGGTTGTTAAAGTGTACCGGAGCAACTGAATCATTTAATCGTTGTGTTGTTCTTCCCCCGAGCCCCGCAGCTCACTTACCTCCGCCATTCCGATTCTGCGCAAGCGGTGGAATGCCCGGATGTTGTGTAGAACTACTATTGAACTTACATTCCGACTAACTAACTCTCATGATAGCCACCAAACCATCTCAAATTAGTAATACAGGATCTCATCTGCAGTGCACTGAATATGTCAAGTAAAGTCACCTTTATTTATATAGCGCTTTTAACAATACAGATTGTGTCAAAGCAACTGTACAGCATTAATTAGGAAAATAGTGTGTCATTAATGCAAAATGACAATAGTAAACACATTTGTCTGTGTTGAATGGAAATCGATCCCACCGGTGATTTTCGTGAGCAAAATATCCTTTAGAGTTTGAGGGGTCTAAAATAGATGATTTATTTTCAAAGTTATAAACTATGAATGGAATTGCAGAATTTTTAACTTCACGTGAACATCTCACATAGTGTAAAGTCATATAAAAAGAGATGTTTAATTCCAGTTTGCATCTCTTGAAGATTATGTCATTGTCAAAGATCCATAAAAAATGTTATAGATTCAACTGTCATAAGTCATATAGCCTATTAAAAGTGTCTATAATTAATATATTTTTAAGACAGCTCTGCCTCATTTGATTATCATCATCACATGTAGGCTAAATATGCAACACCGTACCGTTCAAAAGTTTAGGGTAAGACTTATGTTTTTGAAAGAAGTTTTTGAGCTCACCAAGACCAATTTATTTGATAAAAAAAACAATATAACATTAGGCTAATACTGTAAAATATGATTACAATTTAAAGTAACTATTTCAATTTATATATTATTAATAAATAGTCTATGTTAATGTTAAATTATGTTACTTTGTTTTTGGAGGTTACTTTTGGGTCTTATTGAACAACTGAGCATTTTTATTTGTATGTTTATTTTATTACAATAGTGACCAGGAATAAGAATAATCCATTCTTTCACTAACTTTTTGGATTGATTGATTCTTTCTTTCTTTCATAAATATGATTATTTAGATTATTTAAATAAGCAATGCAGTTTTGTTTCAAGGAGTAAAATACACATTCTATTTAAGGAATTAGGAAAAATGGGATTAAATTAGTTGCTGTACATGTTTTATATGCTGTTATTAATTTGCTTTCTTGATACTTGTCTACACATTAATAAAATATGCTTTTATCGTAAATTTACTATAATGCACAAGGGTGTAAATCAATATTTAAGATTAGAGGTGGACAAAATGTAAAATTGAAGAAACGAGAATTGAAAATCCCACCCCTTCAATATCTCTGATGGTCACAGCTTTGGTAAAGAGTCCATATGACATTTAAGTAACTCGTTTAAAATTCTAATAGACCTACATACAGTTTAGCATAGCATGGATTTATTTTATCCAAAACCAAGACTCCCTTTAGACAAGCTCTTCAAATATTAGTCTATTGTAAAGATCTTGATTTGTATATAAGGCCTGAATTAAAAAAGAGGACCTTGCACGTGCTCACAGACTGTGTTGTTGTGGCATTGGATGGCAGATAGACTCCATGTGATCTGCTGTAGCCTACTAATCACACATGGAGAATCATTGGAGAGAATGAAGGGGGAGTGACGAGTGTGTTGCTGGCAGATAAACTCATCATGTGTATCAGTGTGTGTCTATCAGTACAGGTCGTCTTTTTGCCCTGATATTCTAGAAGCTATGCTCCCTTGCCCAAAGCCCAATCCTAGTGACTAACAGAAACCATAGTACTGGTTTCAGATCAGAAATGAACGTAAAGTACGTCTGCAAACACCTGCATCAGTTTCTCAGAGGATGTGGTCTGACTGAGAAGAGCTGACAAGTAATTTGCTGTGGAACAATTCAACAAGTAGAGAAAACCGTAAAAAAAAAAAACATTTCAACATCTGATTCACAGTGTAATATATCTCTTTATTATTAATTTTAGATCAAATGACATTTTATTTACACCAGGTTCGAAAATAGATTACGAGATCTGACGAAATTATATAAGTACTTTTTTCTCCGCTGTCTTTGACTGTTTAAAATATGACTGTCAAACCACAATCTTGTGATGAAGATTGATGGAGGATCATTTTAATGGAGATCAGATTTCAGCCGATTGTCATATATTTCAGTTCTGTTGACTCTTGCATGTCATTTGATCCAGAAAGCTTTTATTAGCGATAATAGGGCCTGTTTAATATCATGAAATCAGTAATTAATCACATTTGTTGCCTTTAAAATGAGAAAAACATTTACACTGCAACCTTGCATCAAACAATGGTGTGCATCGGGGGCGGAGTTATCTGTTTTCTCAACCAATAGCGGTTAAGGAAGTGTTCTTGGAAAACTGTTTGAAAACAGTCATTTGTGCGCTCCAAACTGCTAATTAATGTAGAAGAAACACACCAACCAAGTGAACATTCTGCTTCTGAGACTCTCACAATTCAGATTTTTTTCAGAGTTGCGAGATATGAAGTCATAATTCTGAGATATAAAGTCAGAATTGCGAGATATAAATTCTAAACTGCAAATTTATATCTCGCAATTCTGACTTTATATCTCGAAATTATGACTTCATATCTCGCACTTCTGAAAAAAAAAACATGAACTCGCAGTTCTGAGAAGAAAAGTGAGATACGAACTCACAATTGCGAGAAAACGTTCAGAATTGTGAGATAAAAGTCGCAATTAACTTTTTTATTTTTTATTCGGTGGCAGAGATGTAAGACTCAGAACTAAAAAAAAAAAAAGCTCTATTTCATGATATAAACTCAGAATTGCATGAAAATAGTCAGAAAATGTTCATTTTGATCTTTGAGTTTAGGCTATGTCTCACAGTTCTAAGTTTATGTCTCACAGAACTGTCAGAACTGCAAGAATATCCCATGTGGATGGTGGTGCATAAAAAGATATAACATATGTACCAATTATCAGAAACCACCAGGGGGCAATGTCTGTGAGCTCCTAAAATGAGAATAACCTCTTACCGTCGTCGTTAACTTTGATTTATTAAACCTTCAAGGCAATTTACTGATAAAACCATAATATGGTTAGCCTACCATATATGAGCATGTTAATGCAAACACAAGGCTTTCGCATGTCTTTCAGATGAGTTCTCCAGTTATCACTTAAGAAACTCTTTAACTGTAGCCTATAGGCCTATCAATCGTTCTCTATTTCTGTCAGCTGTTAAAATTAAAGCAAACATGCTGCAAATAATCCAGGACAATCAGAAATGGTTTTTGCATGATTCAAATACTGGCTGACTTCGTAATCTGAAACTGTTATGATTTATCAAACTAAAGTTCCTCACTTGTAATGTCAACATTGCCAGTGTCAGAGTTATATCACTTTATTAATGTGTTCTTTCCTATGAATGTCACAGCTTAAGCGCCCAAATAAGAACAGAATACCGAACACATGATTATTAGGCAAAATATTAACTCGGTCATTTAACTAACACAGTGAAGCATAAAACAACATTTTTGTTTAATTCGGAACTTTTCTTCAGACGGCCAATTACAACAGTTTCTGAACTTTGATCAGAATCTAACTTAAATCTGAAAATAAACAGAAAGTTTGGGGAGTTTGAAAAAGTGAAGAAAAATATGAAGAAATATTACAATAATATTGTTATATTTAAGACTGTAAAACTGTAGGCTAAGAAAAAAAGCACTGGTCAAGTGTTGCAGCTTGACGAGAGGAATCATATTAATCCCACATCAATTATCAGAGCGCATGACATCTTACATATTTTGAGGTATTTTGATTTAATATATGTTACCAGTGGTTTCAGGATGTTGGAAAGCCTGTTCTTCTGGTGAACCGAATAAAAAACATGATTTAATTTCCCCTAAAACGTTTAAAATAGAAGTGCTGATAGTTTAAATGAATGAGTCAGGCCTAAATAAACACAAATACTATTTCCCTCCATTTGCCAGATTTCCTATCACAGTGAAAGCATTGTGCAGACATTAAAATACAGATAAATGGAAAACAGCTCATTTTAGAATGTTTGCACACTTTATCGCTGATAGTAGGCTATAATAATATATTTTCTATGTGTGTAGCCTAGTATTCTAAATATGGATAGCCTACTTAAACTTTATCAAAATTTAATAAAAATTTTTCTCTGATCGTTCTTAAAGCAAACACAGTTAAAAGCTGGCCTGTGGTTTGACACTAACAAACCACCACAAGGGGGCAACATATAACGACTTTCCGTGCGCTTTCTTGAAGTTAACAACTGAGCAGCACTTTTGACAGTAATGTCTGATACACTGGCACGAAACGTAAGTCATATCAGTCTTCTAGAAAAGGTTATTCTCCATAAAAGTGGACACGCATCATGGTCGGTGGCATGTTGGGATAGCAGCCAAATATATTATGCAGCGATTGGCTGGTGGCAAGACAGCAACGTAATGACATAATACAATTAAAGGGGTCATATGATGCGATTTCAAGTTTTCCTTTCTCTTTGGAGTGTTCCATCATATGACCCCTTTAAAAAAAGACACCTGGCGAAAAACTTGACAAATTTCTGGAAACAGCCAAGCGAACAAAACTACATAAATGTGATAATAGTGTGTTTTTTAATTTTTTTTTACATGATTCCCAATTATTTATATTCACAATTTCTAGTATTTGTACAGGCTTTACATTTTTATTTCAGTGTTGTAATTAGCAATTAATTTAATTGTATCTTTGAAGCTGATTTGTTACGTGACAGCGTTAATTAAAGTTTCTTAATGGTCAAGATCATGTTATCTGCATCTCCTGCGCTCCATCAAGCCACTCCCATAATATCTGTCATCACTCAAATTAATGCACGACTCATATTAACTGTATAGCATGTGTGTAAGACTCCAATACAAGTATAAAGTAATTATTTCATCACGAATAAATGTTTCAACTAGTAAACCTGGCTGTGTCTATAGGGTTAGCTATAGATGATGACTACACAACATTATAATTTTTTGTTGTATTTATCTTTTAATTATTATTATTGTAAATTACTGTCACTGGATCAGTAGTGTAGGCTACTCTTCTAATAAAGTAGC